ATGATCAACCACATAGCAGTTTCCCGCAGAACAGATCTGTGAGGAAGCACAGCCTTTTATTAGCGGGATTTGCCAACATAGTCCATCGTACAGGGAGACAGTTATGCCTCCAACTCTTAACCTGGAGGAAAAAAGAGGTGGTTAGCAGTGGAAACAAAACCTAGAACTTGTGCCCAGAAGTCAAATTTCAGAATACTATGTCTAACCCGAAACAGCACTTATCAGAATGATCCTTGTTACTGTCCTATTGCTTCTTAAAATCCTGTTTATAAATCAGCCCAGGCTATCTGCTAGGTTCTGATAAAAGGGCTTTTTTCAAAAAAGCTGGAAGGGATAAGCAGCAGTTCAGAAAAAATGTCGAGGTATTCTAATTTTGTATGAACTTTTGTCAGTGATAATGAGACTGGCAGGTCTAGCTGAGGCAGTCACAGATGCTGGAAACAGCGGAAGGCGGAGGTAACATCAGCTGGACTGAAACGGTTATCCGGAGGACTGTTCTCTCTTAAAGATGGTTATCTGTTGAGACCCTACTGTGCAAAGTGTAGTCTGCGTTGTGTATCAGGGGGGTGGATTGAGAAAGTACATTCAGGACCAGATGCCAAACCCAAATTAGGAGAGATTTAGACATATAATTACCAAGTATTTATTAAGCTTCTGTTGTATTTTCCATTTGTCAGGAGTCCTCGATTTAGAACCAAAATGTAAGAACTGGCAGACCATTCTTGTTTTAGGGCTTAGTCTGTCTTTAAAAGGATTAGTAGCCTAGACTATATTCAGAACAGTTGTATTTAAAAGATATTCAAAAGAGCTATGTAATTTTTTTTTTTTTAAATAAGAGAGGTATTGATCCTTTAATTAATCACTAAAGAAATGAAATGTACCAGGAAGCCTATTGAGGTCACCTGGATGATACAGGCATTCTTGAACTGAGTGCTTGCTTTTGTCCTGGGCTCAGGTAACTAACATTCCTTTTGGATCAAATGGCTCTAGATATCCAAACATGGCGTTTATTAAGGGCAGCAGTATAAGGTTCCTAAGCATAAAGAAAAAATAAGCCTAATCAGATTCCCTTTATTTTTACTACTTAGAAGCTTAGCGTGCATGGCTTAAGCTCTGGGTCTAGCACAGCAGGGCACATCGCTGGAGTGACAGCTTGCCTGGTCACGTGCACGTCCGTGTCCATACAGAGATGATTACTCAGACATAAGTTACTCTATCAAAAAATAATTCCCTTGTGTGGAAAGAATGTAGCTTGTCAAGCATAGTACACATTTCCCTCACTTCTCTCTTCCAGCTCCAAGCCTGGTGGCGAGGCACTGTGATACGGCATGAAATTGGTTCTTTCAAGATGCCCAAGAAGGACAAAGATGATAGCAAGGATTCCAAGGGTAAAGGCAAAGACAAAGAGAAGCGGAGAGGCAAGAAATGACCAAGTTCTCTTTTGTCCTTTCCTCTGATAACTTTGGAGATGGGTGAGAGGACTTGAAGAGCGTTAAAGAAACGTCTTTAACTACCACCAATAACTCATCTCTAGGTTGGTTCTTATTTGGACACTCCCAGGTGACACCTGGTTACCTCACTGTGCCTGTTGTTAGTTTTCAAGCCCTGAATTAGGATTAACCATCGATTTAAGGCTTCCTCATATTTTGATAAAATTTTGCTGGAATAAGTTGTTTCTAGGAGTCTTGTAAAGACTCTTCTTACTCTTTCTCACCAGTGACAGAGATGCATTAAAACTGCTGTTA